TTATACAAATACTATCTGTACTTTTAGAAATTCATTTATGCCAATCCTGCATGTTTGAAATATTGCAATCTTATAGTTACAATATTTCTGCAACGTTGCTGTAATATTGAGTGCTGTTGGAGTAAGTATGTTGAAGTACAAAGGTACAGCTTGTAACAATGAAACTGAGTCAGCTCAAGTTTGTATTAATTTTCTCTAAGGCAACAGAATTCAAAACGAGTAATAAATCTAAATCTTATTTTTCAATACTGTTGATTATTTTTCAACACAACTTCTATTCTAGACTTATTACTTGTTTTGAATTTTATCCCCTTAGGGGAAACTAACACCAGAACTGGCTCAATTTTATTATTACTAGCTGTACTATCATACAATGATTGGACATACACCTAATTTTAATGTTGAAATAAATGATTGAACGCTTCTTACAAGGGATTGATAGATAATTTGAATGAAATCGTGGAACCAGAAGATATTTTATGTATGCAATACTTTTTATTGACCGACCCTGATAACGTTAAAGAACGATCTTTAATTGGCTGGCTAAGCGGAAAGAGCGAGGTGGGAAACGAATATTCCACGATTGATTTTCACGCCTCTTTCAGCGGGATGCGAAACGGTAAACGAAACGACCAGTGGGTGCGTTTTCACGCGCCATCGAGTTATTTAATTAGCGAAATGACCGCCGCGCCGTTCGATTTTTCCCCCTTTTTCTTTCCCTTCCCCATCCGTGCGTCGTTAATAACGCGTGTTTCCCTTCTTTCCACCCTCGATTTCCTCTCGTAGATTATTAAATAACGCACCGACGGTATTCAGTAATCAATTAAAAATTGTTTTCGGTCGATTCTGATTTAATTTTTTAATCAGGACACTTCGTAGCGATTCGCCTTGTTTTCTCTAATTTAATTCCTGTGTCTCTGATTAAAATAAAATCTATTTTATTTAATTTCATTTAATTCCTGTGTCTCTTAGTTGAATTTAAATAAACTCTATTTCGATGGTTATTTAATAAACGAGCAGGGGAACTGTTCCTAAGCGTACTTAATCTTCCCTTCTTAAACAATTAGGCCAGTCGAGAAAGCTTGCGAAAAATATATCAGATCTCTGTGTTCCCAGGCCATTTCGGGGTTGGCAAATAATTTGTTAAATTCACGAACGCTGAGACGTTTGCCGGGAAAAAACAAGGCTTCCCTGACGGGTGTATCGTTCCACGGTTGTTGGAAACGAGCTTCCAGGGACATCACTGCCGTCAGTGAACACATCCTGAACGCATCGATCCGCGATGATCAATTATACACTATACGAGTCGCACACGCAGGAACAAACTATCTAAAGACAAATATTGACCCATTTCCGGTTGCCCAGACCGCCGTCGCCGCCGACTGCTAATTACAATTTTATCGACCTTGCTCGACCGTCGAACAGGTCAGTTAAATAATGACAAAAATTGTTCCAAGGACATCTGACTTTACTATCAAAAATTTTTATTAAACACTTGAAACTATGGTTTACAATTTTATTGAAGAACGGATTTTTTCTGAGAGGCAGACGTTCGATCTGGACAGAATGGGCCGAGCGTGATTCACGTCGAGGCACTAATTCTATAACATTAAGTTTTCTCACGACAAGACGCATGGGGTAATTAGCTAATGATATGTGAGGACGTGCTTAATCGTTAATGAAAAGGTGTGCGACGACGACCACGCCGGATATAAAGCAACGGCCCTGCAATTGTTGCGCGCACCTAATCCCTAGTTAGAGGTACGTCGACGTCACCACGAACGCTACCAGTCTAGCGTCGTATCGAATCAATCCCTCGACAAATTTTTAGGTCCCGTGTTAGGTCTCGATTAGGCGCCTCCACCATCCATAATTGTACAACTAGATTAGCCATTAGAGTTAAATTAGAGCCTCGTTTAGGCCTGAATTACATCCTTAGGTCCGTTTTAGGCTTGAGCTCGCAGTACCCTGTGTTTCTCAATTGTTCAATTATTAATCCGTTCGTTTACACCTGGCAATTATTTTTAACCCTTTGTACTCGAGCGGCGCTGCTACGGCGCCCGGCACGAAAATTAATTGCAAACTGTAATATTTAACAGATTTTGTTGTATTCAATAAAAATGAAAAAATTGGTAAAATTTTATTATTTGTATACGTTCTTTTGGGTATAAAATGATTTGAAGTACCCCTAAAGTTCTTCTCTAATATAGCCGAAATCGTCTCGAGTTGCTGGTTCGCCCGAGCGCAAAAGGCCTCCAGTGCAAAGGGTTAATAATTTTGTCCAGCTTGACCTCCTGCAAAAATAATCAAATTCTCTCTTTGAAATGATTCGTGGTGTAAAGGTATTAATTAAGATTGTCAGAAACAATTTCGTCGCTCAAGTGACTGAGAGGTGAGTGATTCGATTTAACGGTGGTAGCATGAGTGGTGACGGTTCGAGGCCCAAGATCGACTAATTCGACGGACAGGTCCTAGAGCCAACGATTATCACTTTAGTAGAAAATATGTTTGCACTACTCTCTTCTCTCTCTCTCTCTCATTCTTTCTCTCTCTCGTTATAATCAAAATACCGGATCCTTTCTCTCCTTTTTTTTCTCTCTCACTCTCTTTTTTCATTTTTTTTTTTTTTTGGTTTGAGTTTTTCATTTTGGTTTAATGTGTGCACGCGCTGTCACACGATGATTAAAATCGCTCGATGCTCTAGCTACGAAAAAGGTCTCTCTCTAACGATAGAATCAACTCTCTCGCTATATATAATATATAATATGATATATTTATATAGGTGATATGTACCAAATGGAAGATTCATGTTTCCGCGTTGCCGTTTGCACGCGAGACGACCCGCCGATTCCCGTCACTCACCGGTTTTTAAGCTCGACCGACGAATTTTTCTGCTGGTTTTTTTTTTTCTTTTCTTTTTTTTTTGTACAGTTTTCGTAACGGAAACGACCGAATCCCCCGGAGTATTAAAAAGTCATTTTGAAAAAAGCGATCGACTCCGCTTTTACCTTCCGTTACCTCCGGGGGATCCGCCGGAAAATAAACAGTTTTTCTAACTCCGAGAACTCGCCAATAATTTTTGATCGATTGTCAGAGACTACAGAGAGAGGGACGGATGAATAGAATTCCTCTGATGCGGTTGCCGGGGTGTGTCGTTTCGGTTCCAGGTAACCGCGGAAATTCGTCCCGCGGGAAACGGTCGCCGCGACTCATTATATTTGTTCTTTTTTTTTTTTTTCTCGAAATCATCGGATGGCCTCTTAAAACGTTATCCCCGGAGCCGTCCCGACGACGCTCGTTACAAGAGACGTAGTTTTCCGTAGTTTTGTTCACAGGACGCCTCCGGGAGCCGCTGCATACATTACATACGATATTATCTATGTATACCTTAAATCGATCACTGTGTCTAAAACGTAGAGACACCTACATACGTCACCGAGCAAAAGTGATGACACCGGGATGACCGGCTGCCTCGAAATCGTCTACTGCTCGACGGCACACGTACATGTAATTAGATATACAGCTGCGTATGTATACGTATATGTACATTGCTTAACAAATATCCTCTTAAGTTTCTATTTTGTTAACGTGTTTTACGGGATTAATTCACGAGGTGCCATTGCCTGTTTCTTTATACACGTGTCCTTGCGCGCGTCTGGCTTTTTAAATCCGTTTGGCTGGTTCTCTCCGTAAATATATATATATGGCAGCCGTGCGACGGAGCTGAAAAGTCGCTCTCTATTTTTTTTTTCTTTTTCTCCTCCCCACCTCCGTTGACCTTTCTCTCATGCTTCAGCTGGGCGCACGAACCCATATTCTCTTTTTTCTTTAACTCCGGATGAGAAAAAAAGGAAAGGAGAGAGCCGAGAGAAATGAAATTATTCTGTTCCGTGTGTGTGTGTGTGTTTCTGTGGGTGTGCTCGCGTTTCAGCTCGAGGGTACCGCTTTTTTTGCTTACTTCCTGTTTACGGCACGTTTAGGGGGTCCAATGGGATGCAGGAGCGATGTTATACCAGAATTGACTCGGACAATAAGGGTTCTGTTGAGTTTACATTTGCTCGTTTCGGATTCCACTGTTTTCCATAATGAATGGCAATTTTCTTCAGGGGTTGCTCGAGTCTTCAAATGGACTTTCTTATTTTCCTTCTTCTTTCATGATTTTGGTGTCTTCGTTTCTTGTTGTATTTTAAATTTAACTGTTTTTAATTCACGTCACGTCGCGTTTCCTCTTACAAGAATAATGTTTCACTTCGCAGGTGTGAAGAATTCCAAGGCTCGAGTGATAGCATCGAAAATCGATCAGGCGATCGAGTTGTTCCTTCTTTATTCGACGATTTATCGTCGACCGACCGACCCCACGTCGTTGAAATCGTTTGCCTCCTTCGAAATATCTGCGACTCCTTTTCTTGTTTTACAACTTTTCCAAAAGTTCAAGTAGAACGTTGAAGTGGAAGCGGAGTTAGTTAGAGATTATCGAGAACATAGAGTGGCTCGTGGAATTTAAAATTGTGACCAACAGCTGCCGCGTGATTTTATGTATCATCTTTTATTATGAAACATTAAACATTATTATGAAACATCCAAGTTCTCATGGAGATTTATAAATAGTGCAATCATTGCATAAAATCGTTTTGATAATTAAAATGTAATCTTCCTTTAAGTTTCCAGTCCAGTAAGTCCAATTGTTTGAATATTTAGTTTCCGGTGATTATTTAGGTTTAAGGGATTGCGATTTCTGTCCGTTTGAATTGCTCATAGCTCGGCACTTAAAGAGAGCCGACTTGCGGAACACGCGTCAGCTAGACAGGGAATTTATTTCTAACGACGGCTCGAAGAACCGAGAGCAGAGAGAAGCGAGTTTGTCCAATTCCGCGGAGCGGACAAGCGGAGCGTGAATTCCTCGGGAAACTGACACGGGACCACCCTCTCCTCCTTCTTCTCCTCTTCACGCTTGGTCGTTTTTCGTTTCGATGAGCAAGTGGCACTCCCTCTCGGTTCTCTCGAACGCGTCCTCTTCCACGAAGGACACCAGTTTGCACTTAACCCGTTGAATTTTCGAGGACCGTCCCCCCTTCCTTTTAACGCGGATCCATAAGACGGCTTCCAGCGATTCACTGAATCGCAGATTTTCTTACCCGATTGGATTCCACTGTTTCTACGATTATATTCTGTCCTCGAGTGGCCAGCATGAAAAGCACACTATAGGACTTTCAATTTACTGTGGTTTCATTCTAAGATTTGGTTCCTCCTTGAAATTCATCAGGCTAGTTTAATTATACATCTTCAGGATGAAATTACTCTTCTATATCTGATGATTAATTCCAACGTACTTTCATTTTCGCAAATGAAGAAAGACAAAAAATGGTTTTCAATCTTGGCAAGATGTAATCAAAGTCCTTAAGTAAGAACGACCTCGATTTCGGTAGAAATTGATGCTCCTAATTGGGCGTCTTTAAGATGAAATGACTCCACTCTCTTGATCTTCTCTTGGTTTTTGATAGTTCTTGAACCTCGTTTCGTACGGCTGAAGGATTCCTCGGTCACCGGAGGCGGAGGGGAATCCGGTTCCCTCGACTATCCTTAATCCCGACTTTGCAACTTCCCTTCTATTATTCGCGAAGCATTTCAAGGATTCCTGGTATGGTTTCTACCGGCGTGAAACTTTTTTCCCCTCAGAGGGCAATCTGACTTCGAAACTCGCGCTAAATCGGGTCGCAAACTTCTTAAAAGGCAACAATCTCCGGATCGGACGACTTTCGGATCGATCCTCGGATCCCCTAAAACGGATGACGGGGGCTCGCGGTTTCTGGACGCGATCCAACCGGGTAAATCCCGCTGGTTCTTATGTAAAACCCCCGGCGCACTTGTTGCGTTTTGCTAATGAAACTTTTGTGTCATGGGTCATCGATTGCGCACGAACAGGTGGTTAATAGAGGCGCGGGTGTTTATGCGAGGCCGAGAACACACGTTTTTCCGTCCCCGGCCGCCTATCGATCCGCTCGCCCCCTCCGTTTCCCACCTCCACCCGAGGTATCACATTTATGCAAATCGCCAGTCCGCGCATTATCATCCGAATCGGACCGGAATATTGCCTCCGTCGCCAGTTTCATTCCAATTCCTATGGTCACTGCGTGGTCAGATCGTTCTCCAACATTTTTTATCCACCAGAAGAATCATAAAGAAGAATTCTTGTTAAAAATTTCTAATCCTTTTTCAGCTGATTTCTTGCCTCGCCAATATTTTATTACCAAAAGGTGAATCTCAGTTTTGTTTCATCCATTCTTGAGAACCATTTCATGACTCGAACAAACAGACATTCCGTAGGAGATTTAAAATTCTGTTCACAAATACTCGTTGCCATAAATAAAATTTCAGATTCGTCTATTCTCGATGATTACGAGTATTTTTGGGGACGATCGATCCGCTCGTCCCTCTGGCATCCGTGGCGAATTTTTCGGTATCCAAGTGAATCGATAGAGTATCCTCCAGGTCCCAGAGAGCCGAGACACTCGAACGACGTGTAACTCGTTAGGCTGTCCCCGTTTTCACGAGCAGCGACGTTCATCAATCTTTCACAGCCCCATTAAATCGTCCCTGCCTCTCCCCCGTCGCCGACAAATCTGTTTCGTTCCCACATCGCCACCCCCTGTTAACCAACACCGGACGGTCGACGCTGAAATTTGTCAGGGTGAATCCCGTTCTCGATTCTCAATGAATCGTCGGGATGATTAACAGGTCGTCGACACCGGTGAAACGTCTCGATTCTTTGCCGACGAAATTTGCGAACGGTGAATCGGAATACTATTATCTCCTGAATGACTCGTCAAAATGATCGACGATGAAACGTTTCAATTCTTTGCGACTGAAAGCCAAACGGGGCGTAAACCGAAGTCCCATTCTGTTGACAATGATTCATCAAAATGATTGACACCGCTGAAACGTGTTAATTGATCGAAACTGGAAATTTGTCGACTGGAATGAAAATCCTATTGTCTTCGGAATGATTCATCGAAATGATTAATAGCCTCGACGTCACTAAATTCTTTGCTACTCCGTTCGGAGTCTCTCCGGCGCTTTGAACGTCGGAACGTCGTTCTAGGTGAGGGAGAAAGGTGGTCCATCCGAATCGGAACGAGGTCCCCGGCAGCTGATCCGCTGCTTCGGCCGCTGTGTCGCAAGGTTGATGCATCACCAGGGTCCCTCTTCTTAAATCTTGAACAGCGCTAGGATCGATGATAGCACTGTGATCGCTAACGAATTTCCCAGCTCCCCGGCGCCCGCCGATACGCTCGACGCTATCGCGCTGTTACAAGCTTCCGGCATCGGATCTGCAACAAAATCCAAAAGAAAGATTTTCAAAGACCTATTGGATATACAGTCAATTCCAAAACTTTATGTACCTTAGAAAACCGGATTTCCTATAATTAAAAAGAAATCAGACGTCGGAAGAACAATTATTTTGAATGAAAAAAGTTTACATTTTTCTTCTAACTTCGATATTTAACGAGTTCAGTATGATTAATTGGCATTTTACAGGCAATGATAAAATCCGACCATCCCAATGTCGAAACGTCGAACATTTGGAAAAAAATTTCGTTTTTCCTCAATAACTCCTAAACCGTTGGTCGTACGGGAAAAATGCATACCACCTTTCTTGTAGAGGACGACAAGATCTACAATCTCTATATAAAAGTTTCTCGCCAGCATCAGCAGTTCACGAGTAATTTGCAAAAAACTGTTTTTCGTTTTTTTTGCCAATAACTTCCAAACGGATGGACTTAGGGAGACGTATATAGGACCACTTTGTAGAGGACGACGAGACCTACAATCTCTATATAAAAGTTTCTCGCTAGCATCAGTAGTTCACGAGTAATTTGCAAAAAACTGTTTTTCGTTTTTTGCAAATAACTCGGTAACTATTTGCACTAGCGAATTCTTTTTGCAGAGAAATTATAGATCTCGTCGTCCCCTACAAAATGAGCGTACACACGTCCCTCTACGTCCATCCGTTCGGGAGTTATTGAGGAAAAACGAAAAGTCTTTTTAAAAGTTAACAGATTCGACGGGCGAATTCGCCTTCAGATTCTGCAATTCGC